TTTGCAGCCTTCTATATTCAGTGTTTGTAGATATCCCATGTGTAATTTAAAAGAGGATGGATTCTTCATTTGTTGAGTGCCGATATCTGCATGTGTCAATTAAATCATGTTGGCTAGGAACGCTGTTAAAAATTTTCAGTTCTTCTGTATCTGTACTAATTTTTTGTCCACTTCTGCCAGTTACTGAAAGATCTGCATTGAACTCTTCCACTGTGCGGATGTGCCTTTTCACTCTTTACTTCTGTCAGTTTTTACATGAATATTTTGACACTATGCTGTTCAGTGCATATCAGTGGACCTTTTATTATCATGAAGCAGCCCTCTTTATCTCTAAAAAGTCCTTTTTACTTTAATGTCTATTTTGTCTGATGTTAGTATAGCTACACTAATGTTCTTTGGCTGTGTTTGCATGGTATGTCTGTGGTCATGCTTTAATTTAACCTCCTTTAATCCTTATGTTTTAGATGTCTCTCTTGTGAATTACCTAGAGTTGATTTGTTCTTTATCTAATCTATGCATTGAGTCCATTTATAGCTTTTTAATGCATAATAATATACTTCCAAAAATTAACTAATTTGTTAAGTCTGGTTTAGCAGATTGGCTTGACTATCAGAAACTTCATATAGTTAATCTCGCAGTTTATAGAGCTGATCCATTTATATTTACGGAATTGCTGGTATATTTGGGCTGATATATGCTATCCTATTTTGTTCTGTGTTTCTTTTTCTCTTTCTTGCCTTCTTTTGGATTTACTGAATAGTTTTAATCATTACATTCCACCCCAACCCCAGTAGTTTCAAATTTATATGCTCATTTCTGTTTTCTTTTCAGTGTATGTTATAGAAGTCTAAATTTAATTGATACTATTAGCCTCCCCTTAGATAATCAATGATTTTTAAATGCTCTAATTCCATATTCCTTCCTCCATCTTATTTATAGTTACTTTTTGTATTTTAAATCTATCTTGCTTTTTGAAACCTCACGAGACATTGTTATTGTTTTTTGAAGTTGATGTTTATTTATATTTATCAAGTGGCATGCTAGTAAACCAGATCTCTGGGCAGGGGAAAGCCCTGATCTATGGTGTTTGCCAGCTCCCATGGCATAAATACTCCCACCTTGGCCAATCTCAAGCTACCAACAGTTTAACAACCAGCTGATGAGATTTAACAATAGGTTCTCACAACCAGTATGAGCTGGCTCTAGCTGTACCATTGGGTACGTATGTGTGTATGTGTATGTGTGTGCATATGTGTATTTATATGGATATATGTGTATCGTTTCTTTGCTTTACATTCTTTCCTGCATTCCAGACTTCCATCTGTGACTGCCTTCCTTCTGCCTACAGTATATTCTTTTGACTTTTCCATAGAGATGATCTGCAGGTAGTGAATTCTCCACTAGCAAAATTGTCTGCAGATAGCTTGCTTTCACTCTCATCATTTGACACTAGTTTTATTTCATCCTCATCAATTGAACATTCTTTTATTTCTCTCTTATTCTTGTTGAGTATAGAATTCTAGGCTGATGATTTTCTTGTAGAACATGAAAAATATCATTATCTTTTAGCATCCATTGTTGCACTTCCAAAGTCAATTTCAGTTTAACTCTTACTTCTTTGAAAGTAAGTGGTCTGTTCTCTCTGGATGCTTTTATTTATGTGTTTGTTTGTTTTTGGTGCTCTGTAGTTACACTATGTTATCTCTAGATATGAATTCCTTCTCATTTATCCTGCATGGGATTTTTTTGGTCTTCTTGAATCTTTGGATTGGTGTCTTCATTTCTGGAGGCCCTAGTCATTATCTGTTTACCCTTGCCTCTACCTAATTTTCTCTCTCCTCTCCTTATGAAACTCCAACTTAAAATGTTAGAGCTTTTCTATCTTTCATGTCTTTTAACTTCTCCTGTATATGCTTTCATTTTGTCTCTCTGAGGTGCATTCTGGATAATTTCTTCTTACCTATTTTCTAATTCACTAATTCTCTCTTTAGCTTTATCTGATTTTCCATTTAACCTATTCACTGAGTTTCTTATTTTATTTTATTCTTTAATTTCTAGAAGTACTCTTTGTTTTTCTTAAAATCTTCTAGGCCATTACTTGTAGTTTTCTATTCCCTAAATATATTATTTAGGGAATAATAATAATAATAATAATAATAAGCTTGTCTTTGATGTCATTAAACATTGTAAGCATACCTGTTTTATCATCTTCATTTGGGGATTCAAATAACTAATGTCTATGTAGGTATGTTTCAGGATTTGTGTTGGTTTATGCTGATTCTCATCCATGATGTGCCTGTTGTATACCCCTCCACTCTTTTTGGAACTGTGTGGTGTTCCTTAGTGCTGAAAAATAATATGTGCAGATTCTGTGAGGCCTAGAATGAGGGTATCTTCTCCAGAGTGTCTTGTGTTATCTCTTCGAGGTACCCACATACACTACCAACCAGGGCCACTGTAACTAAATTCTTGGCATGAAGGTTTTGGAACTTCCCCCCAGATGATACGAATTTAGACCACAAATTGACAGAAGTGTTAGTTTGTGGTTATACATTTTCAGGGATTTTTTTTCTCCCTCCTTTGTCCACTGCCAGGCAATTTTCTTTACAACCTCCAGGGATGGGAAAGGAGCAAGCTTATTTCTGGTGTACCATTATCTAAAGGGGTAGCCCTTTGGAGTTACAACCTCATGTGGGGAGGGCCTCCCATTAAATCCCTAACCTTTAGTGGGCCCTGGGCTTTGACTTCTGGCCCCCTGGCCCCCCGAGGCCATCAGCAGTGAAGTTCAGATTGGCAGTTTGGTGTCTGTCTTCAGGTCAAAGCTGGGTCTGTGCTCCGTTTACGTCTCTGGGTTTGTGCTCATCCTCAGAGTTTACCCTGGTCTTTCCTTTCTATCATATAAGATCATCTGTGCTTTTAAAATTAAAAAAAATTTTCCCCAGCATTTAATTTATTGTTCAGTGGAAGGGTTGTTCAAATAACCTTTCCACGATATTCTCAGAAGTGGAAAACTAATCTTTTATTTTTCCTCTGCAGAGTTTTTTGTTCCCTTTCCTTTATATTTTTCAGTGTAACAAACACATTTCTGTGTTAGTCTGAACTCCTTGCGAGCATAATTTGGAATGGCTGCAAAACATCCCGTTGTTAGTCACTCGCTTCTATTGTTTTCTTTTAGATCACTCATTTTTCACTCTAATAAATTACACTGCATGAGTAGCCTTAAACCAAAAGCTTTCATTGTGACTAAGAGTAATCCTTTAGAATAGATTTCCCAAATTGGAATTCCCAGATCAAAGAGCCAGGACCTTTGTAAGAGTCTGAATACGTATTAGTTTCCAGGGCTGTGCCAGTCTACCCTCCCTGCAGTATTTAAGGACACCTGTGTCTCTCGAGACAAGCGAGAGTCTTCTTTAATAGATCATAGACGCACATGGTAGAACATTGGCAAGGTATCAAAGGTGATATGCTGAAAAGTCTCCCCCCAACTCCGGTCCCGGAGCTGCAGCCACCAAGCAGTCCCCTGCCCCAGAGGCAACTCACTATTGCCAGGTTCTGCACATGGGTCCTTTTGGAGTTACCCTCTGACCAAGGAAATAGGTACTTAGGGTCATTTTGGTTTTGTTTTTAAATAAATGGTGGCATACTACACACACTGTCCTGAACCTTGCTTTTCCCACTTCACCGTAAGTCTTGGTGCTCACCACCCATCAGTATGTGAAGCACTTCCTACATTGTTCTGCTGTGACATGGACCCCACTGTGCAGGGGAACTGCGGGGCATTGAACAACCCATGCCATTAATAGTGCGTGCCCATCTCCCACATGTGTGGATGGCGTCCCAGAAGTAGGATTGCCAAGTTTAAGGATTAGTGCATCTGCAGTTTGGACGAAAATTGCCATAGGTGGATTGCCAAGAGTGGGTGGGTCAGTGGCTTCAGTGTCCTGGTCCTTGTTTCTCTCCAGGGTGATGCTGACAGGGACACTCTCTGACCGGCAGCCGGCTGAACTCCACCTCTTCCGGAATTACGAGGCTCCAGAGTGTGTACGGGAGCCTCGTTTCAACCAGAATGTTAACCTAAAGCCTCCAACTCATCCCTCAGGTTAAAACCATGTGTGATGCATCTGTGGGGAGCTGTTGGCCTGAGAGGCTGTGGGGTGGTGGGTGGGAGTCACAGGCTTGCTGCCAGGTCCCCCCAGGCCACCACCGTCCCACCCCCTGTCCTGGTCTCCCAGAGTGTATCAGCTGAGGGCAGGCAGAGCCGGGCAGCCGTCAGGGCTCGGGCAGGCCAGAGGAGGCCCTCGGCTGCACCCTGCCTTCCTCCAGGACGGCGGGGCCAGACAGCATGGCCATCGGTCCTGATCCTGCCTCTGAAGAGTCCCCAGCCTCTCCCTCTTCCCGCAGCACCACATGCACACACACGTGCACACATGCGCACATACCCTGAGGTCCAAAGCGCACATCTCATGTGCCACTGGGCCCCCTCATCTCCCACCCCCAGAGCAGCTGGTGTGGCGGGCAGCCCGGAGCAGTGGGGCAGCCCCCACCTACTTCCGGCCCAACGGGCGCTTCCTGGATGGCGGGCTGCTGGCCAACAACCCCACACTGGACGCCATGACCGAGATCCACGAGTACAACCAGGACATGATCCGCAAGGTGAGAGCCGCCTCAGGTCAGAGAAGCTGGACGTGACCGCCCACTACAGCCGCCCTGTATCGGCAACCCTTTCTAAGGACTGACTCCTAGGAGAGCAAGTGGCTTTTATTCATGTGTTCATTTATTTGCACGCAACAGCAACTTTATCTCACGCTTAAACCCGCTTGATTGGTAGTGCTGCCTGAAGCAGTGTGCTAAGAGGGGTTCTGAGGCCCAGTCTGGACTGGGTGGTGAAGCGTTATGATTAAGTACCAACATCTGCGGTTTGCGGGGAGCGCAGCCTGATACCAGTGTGTTCCTGTCGCAGGTGTAGCCACACAGCCTGGCCTGGAGACATGTGGTTGCCCTTGGGAAACTCACATTTAGGGAAGATGGTCCAAAGCAGGGACACACTTACCCAAGTGTTTTGGGTGCTGTGACAGAGGGCCCAGAGCATCACCTCTGCTGAGAGACCTGAGGCTCAGAAGGGCTCATGGAGGAGGGGGTCCTGAGGCCTTTGGGGATGAGGCAGTGCAGAGTCAGCGATTCAGAGGAAAAGCCGCAGCCCTCAGCCCAAGGAGCTTAGCGCAGAGGTGGGCACATGTGGTAGGAGAGGCGGGGGTGCAGTACATGGCCTCTGGGTGGGGCCTGACTCTGCCTGTGCTTCCCTTCAGCCACTATGTGTGGCTACTGATAGTACCAGCCTGGGGACTGTCGTGAGGCATCCATGCATTCTTATCTGTGAAGTGTTTAGGGCATACCTGACCTCGAGCGTGCGTGCTGTATGCTTGCTGGCTGTGTTTATCACTGCGGTCATCACCAAGAACCTTGGGTCATGACGCAGCCCCAGGTGACGCAGCTGAGAGGCGAGCGCCCTCTAGGGGCCAGATGGGGCAGGGCAAGCTTCCTGGAGGAGGAAGGAATCAGTGAGAGACTGTGGGATGGGAAGGGGTCCTCAGACATCATCCGTCTAAGTGGATGAGGAGCCTGGGTAGGTGGGTTGCCAGGGTCACCCAGCAGATTGGCAGCAGAACTTGATCCGAAGCAGAGGAGGTGCAGCATGGGCTGTGCTCTTGCCACATGAGCCTGTCGCCCCTCCTCATGCTCCCCCAGGGCCCCAGCCATGGGCCTCTCTTACCCCTGGGTGCCCCCTACCCAGAGGGGAAGGTCTCCTCTGACCTGGTCCTGTCCCAACAGGGTCAGGGCAACAAGGTGAAGAAACTCTCCATTGTCGTCTCCCTGGGGACAGGGAGGTCCCCACAGGTGCCTGTGACCTGTGTGGACGTCTTCCGTCCCAGCAACCCCTGGGAACTGGCCAAGACTGTTTTTGGGGCCAAGGAACTGGGCAAGATGGTGGTGGACTGTGTGAGTATGGGCCCCTCCCCAAGCCCACTTCCCTGAGGCCTCACCCCTAGGATGGTGTCCTCACCCTCGGTGTCAGGGGGATGGCAGGGCTCTGTTGGCCGTCCTTAGCCAGCTCAGGGGAGGGGTCCTCGGTTCAGTGTCTCATTGCTGGCAGGACCTTCAGTGACCACCAACAGTGGGGGGGTGTAGTGGCTGTGGGGCCCTTCTTTCAAGCCCTGCCCATGTGGGAGCCCAGAAGGTCAGGTGGACAAGCTGCAGGGGACAGGGATGTGGAGGCCTGTCCACTCAGCCCCTCCACACTCACTGACCCTGAATAGGCACTGCTGAGCCACCTGTCAAAGCCATGGGCTGTGCCCCTCTGATTGTATAGCTGGGACAGTCACTGAAGCACAGAAAGGGGGACTTGGCCATAGTCACTCTGCCAACTGGGGGCTAAGCTACCCTGGAACCTGGGGGCCCAGGCAGGGGCTGTGGGTGCAGCGCGGGCTGGACACTCACAGAGGCTGCTTCTCACCAGTGCACGGATCCGGATGGGCGGGCCGTGGACCGGGCCCGAGCCTGGTGCGAGATGGTCGGCATCCAGTACTTCAGGTGAGGGCTTGGCTGGCCCCGGCCCCTGGCCCCACGCCTGAACCGGCCATGACCTTCCCCACCCCAGGCCCTGGCCTGGACGTTTCCTTTCCCCCAAGGGGCTGCTCTGTGCCTCAAGCCCACCCCAGTCCTGGCTCTTGTCCTCCACCCAGACTGCGTGTCCTGGAGTGACCCCTCTTCCTTGATCCGGACAGATTGAACCCCCAACTGGGGACGGACATCATGCTGGACGAGGTCAACGACACGGTGCTGGTCGACGCCCTCTGGGAGACTGAGGTCTACATCTACGAGCACCGGGAGCAGTTCCAGAAACTCATCCAGCTGCTGCTCTCGCCGTGAGGCCGCCAGGCCCGCAGCCGCCCCTGCCCTCCCCACCCAGCCCCTGCGGGGGAGGCCGGGCGGGGCCCGACCACCACACCCCTGGGCCTAGCTGGGCCCAGGCAGCCCTAGGCCCAGGGCATGGCGGGCCTCCTGCCTGAGGCTGGTCCTGAAGGCCTCTCTTCCCTCTGTCCCCTCCTCTGGCCCTCCGTGTCATTCCAGGCCTAAAGA